TAATCAACTGGCAGGTACCTTCCCTTCCTTCCACATCTTCTGCAATAGTGGTGTGTTGTGAACATGTCTGCAGTTATCTCTGCGTCTGTTTTCAGTGCTTCTGGTGGGATTCCATCTGGTCCTGCTGCTTTCCCACATTTCAGTAGCTTTATGGCACTCAGGACTTCCACTTTTGTTGGAGGATTTATGTGCACTTGTAGTTCTGTGGCTGGGCTGCAGGTGGTATTTCTGGACGAAGTGCAGGTGGTGGTGGTGGTCTATTCAACAGCCTTTTGAAGTAATCATCCCATCGTTTCCTTTGTTTCTCTTCTTTGGTAATTAAATTTCCTTCTTCATCTTTTATTGGTTTCATCTACATCGATCTCTTCCCAGATAGTAACCTGGTTATTTGATACAATGTTGTCAGGTCTCTCTTACCTGCAGCCTGTTCTGCTTCACTTGCCAGTGTTTCGTAGAAGTGTCTTTTGTCTCTCCGTGCACTCTTCTTCATTTCTTTGTCCAGCGTTTTATGCATTGTACTCAGTTCCTCTTGTCGTTATTCATTCTTGCACTGGTTTGTCTTCTGCTTCACCATCCTCCTCTCTCTGCTCTATCAGCTCCCATGTATCCATTGAGATCCATTCCAGTCCTTGTCTTCTTTCTTCTTCCTTCCTAATACGGCTGTGCAGGTTTCTTTCAACATCTCCTTCAAAGACTTCCATTGTTCTTCCACACAGGTTTCTTCAGGGATGTTCCTCGATATCTCCCATTTCGTCTTGATGGCTGACCACGTGAAGATTTCCTTTGTAGTTTCATCCTTCAGTTTCCGAGTGTTGTACTTGAACTGTGGTCTGTCACCAGCTTCCTTGAAGGCTTTCAACTTGATTTGGAAGGTTCCTTGCACTCGATAGCGAGTGATATGAACCTACATCTGCTTTTCTTCTTGACCTTGTGTCAAGTAGGCTGCGTCTCCACTTTCTTCACATTGAGATGAAGTCGATCTGATTATTAGTGTGTCCTGGTGTCTGGTGAAATCCGTGTCTCTTGTTTTGTGGATATTCTTGTGCTTGAACACAGTGTCTGGCCTCCAATCACCAAATCGTTGAATGCCCAGTAGTCTGCAAACAATTCTCCATTCTCGTTCATTTCAACCATCGCTTCTCGACCCATGAAGAATTCTCTTAGTATGTTGTCCGCTCCGAGTTTTGTATTCATGTCGCCCATTAGAATTTTAATGTCGCCGACTGAGGTCTTGTCTAGTGTTGATTGCAGTTGTCTGTAGAATTCCTCCTTCTTCTCTTCATCTGCAATCTAAAATTGTTCTCTGAGTGGACATGTAGAAAAGTATTTTAGTTTCATCAGGTTTTTATCTGTCTGACTATAAGTAAACAGTGTCTGGAATACAGGTAGTCCTATCTCTGAAACTATATGTATCAACTGGTTTTAAAAATTGAAATCTTCTAAGAAATGTTTTTTGTCAATATGGATAATCCAAAAATGAAAAGATGCCGTCTAAAATCTTGTTATTTGCTATCCAGCACTTACGGACTGATCAGGTGAGAACAGTATGGCATTTTTGTGTGATAATCTCAGTTTCCGTTTCTTTACAGTAGTAGACAAGCCAAAATCAACAAAAGTATGGAAATATTAAATTAAACAGGCGTGACACAGAAAGAAGACGAGTAAATAATGAAGTATAATGAAAGATTTGTAATACTGAAGACGATAGATTTTGAATGAATCTGAGTTTCTACAATCTCTTTTGAACTATACTGAAAACAGTCCTCAGACGTTAATGCTTATTTGTAGCTATTCCAGGTTACACTTGTACAAATAGTTTAGATCAACAGTCATTCACTTCATGCAACCATCATATAAGTTATACTTTGTTTCATTTGAAGATTCTTACAACCTCATAAAATTAAAAGTCAAATTCCCCCACACTTAAAGTTAGAAGTCAGTGAATAAACAGATTTGAAATCAAGCTTTAGGTAAGTGAAATGACCAAACATGAATTAGACGTAAGTAAAAACGATACTGAACACAGTAATACACTAGAATTGAATACGAATATGACCATTCCCCTTCAGCACTTTATTCGTCACTGAGTCAACCAAATATCAAAATACAATGTCTGACCTGTGACTGCAAGGATGACGTTACTCCATAAACTACAGCATATATGTACGATTCCCGCAAACAGAAAAATGTCCAAGGCCAAAGATAGAATAACATAATCTTATTGACTACATCACAAACGGAGTCATCCAATAAATTCATTTATAAATCAAAATGTGAAATAAAAACGCTTCTTTTTACCTCAGCGACCATTTCTGGTCGCTATCTATCAATAACAGTTCTTGTTGGCAGACCTACTAACCACTCCTTGACATTACAATGATTACTTTTGTCAAACAATTCAACAGTGATAAATTCAAGATGATGACAATGATTTATATCCTTTTCAGACAAAATTTATCTGATTCACTGCATAAGCAATAGTACAGAAATGTAAAACGTTGCATTCCAGTATCACAAAGTTTGTGATCTAGACTACTTTTTGAAACAAGGACAAACTAACGGATTGAATGACTACACTTTCTCGACGGAAAGTATTAAGAGTAAAATATTTTTCAAGTTTGATATTTATCGATCTTAAATCACGAGTCTTTTACAGTTGAATTACAGTTTACATGAGAAATATCGTTCACAAATAATAGCTGACTTTGACTAACAACCTTTTTAGAATCGACATACACCTGTATAAAAGTGATAGACAGGGTAGTAAATATTTAATGTACTCCGTTTGAGAAGATGAATTGTTTAACGATGCTCCGTTGTTCCTTGATATTCGATATTTTGTAATGGACATTTCACCACCTAACTTGGTGAAACATTCATGACAAAATCTGAAAGCCGAGAAAAAACCAAACCATTATAATCTTCATCGTGATCTATAAATTGTCTCCATCATTTCCTGAACATCTTAGCGAACTTTTACTTTGCTTAAAGTTTCTCCAAATGAAAATAGTTGATTGATAACATCACTTACTGAAATACTGGGTGATACCAGTTCGAATCTCAGAGGGGACACCAGTTTCCTCGAGGTTTTAGATACGCCTTGATTAAATATGCTAAAAAGCATGAAACCTAAGTCTAGGGCTTTTAGCCGATTATTTCTAACCAGGTAACCTATATTAAAGCGCACTGTGATGGTAAGTAAACCTGTTAGCATGGTGACCACATTCCAAAATGGCAGATGGATTTCTGTCAGCACTAAGGAATAAACAACATGAAACAAGTTGCTCCTCAGTCAATTTGTCCTTCCGAATTATGCTTCTGAAAAAAAGCAAATCAGACTAGAGGATATATATATATATATATACATATATATATATCGAGTGAGTACAAATATAAAGTCTGATAGTTATCTGTACAGAATAATTAATAATTCAACTGAAATCAAGTTAAAATGTCATATGAAGTTAGTTTTTCGATGTGTCATACCGCGAAACAATATTATTTACTGGGTGACATTTCGAGGACCATATATGCCTCCTACAGAATTATACTCTACAGCAGTGCCCAAATTCAACGCTTACATCAACTTATAATAAATTTTCTCAAGATGAGGAATGAGTGAAGGATAAGCAGTTTGGTGGCCTATTCCACCAGAATGTCTACTTCGAGTTCAGCCTCATTCATCACTATGTTACAAGTCATTATACACAAATCTACTGAGCTTTAGTGGAAACGAGTTACGCAATTTACCAGCTTCTTTTGTCGACAAATTTATAGCTTCTTGGTTATAGTTATGGCGGTTTCCATGTTTACTGTCTGTAAATAGAGAAGCAACAGGAGATTTGTTATATTTATTATAGGTAGTGTTTCTTCTGAAGGGGGGGAGGTGATAAAAAGGAACGGATTTTGTAATATTCATTTGAAATGTTCTCCTGTTTATTGTATAAAATGCCCTCATACCGAAATCCTGATAACAAAATCAGTTGAAACTTTAACAAAGAATCTACATCCATTCAGTTAGTTTATCGTTGCGATTACCTACCTGATTAGCAAATTAGATAACAAGTCAAAAGAGTTTTCCAAATGCAAATTATAAAAACTGATAGCAGTTTATCCACACAAATGTCTTTAATTAAGCAAAATAGTTTAGTTTACCAAATTCCATGCAATGACTATGAGGTCAGGCATATTTGGGTCATACTAGCGGATCGGGGTCAGTTAGATTAAGGAGATATATGAATTTTGCTAAATATAGAATGATAGACCCCAATAGGTTCAATAACCTAGAAAAAAACTCGGTTATTGAAATGCGTCCATTAAGACACAACTACACAATAGGATGGAGGAGATAAAGCCACTGTACTTCGGTTCAATATAATTAGGTGGAGAAAGAGATCGATTACTGAAGCTTTGTTCATTGAATCTACACCCAACACGTAATCGGAATGACCCAATACCTAAACCAGAGATATGGAAACTTTACTACCAATAGAAATAAATAATATGAGGTGACAGAACTATAAAAATTTAATGTCAAAGTGGTGTGATTACATCGATGTGATTATGAGTAATAATTTATGCTCGAAACGTTATCAAGTAAATAATACTGTATCATTGTGAGCTGGATATCAAATAAACAAATTTAATATGGTATTAAATTCTTCCACAGTGCCCAAGTTTTACACTTATACTAACTAACAGTCATCTCTTTTCTGTAGTCTGTTTAAAACACGATTTAAAAAAGTGATTAACGACAATCATTCAAATGAATCACATATGAATCTTCTTGAAACACTGTCAATGCTTATTTATTTGACTGAAACAATTTAGTTTATTTGGGACACAGTCACATCTTATAGGCTTGTTGCAATTTGTTAGTTTTTAAAGGCAAACAAAAACTTGTCAATCAAATAACTTGGAAAAAGGCACTGGTGAATAATGAGACTGATAACCCTAAATAAACTAATATTAGACAATAATAATTAAACATAAACACTTGCCTGGTATAAGGGTAAATACAGACATTGGTTTTGACCATTCACTATAAACTAATGTAGTTGAATCGATTACTGATCTTAACTGGATAGTGTACAAGTTGCAGGCAGTTAAATTTTCAATCTTTCTAACAGTTAATTCACTTGAAATGCATTCTATAAGCAAAGATGATTTTTGGTTTGAATTACTCAGGAAGATTTCATAACTCGTTATATGAGACTTATTCTCAATATCCTTCAAAGGCGACCAGCTTAGCATCAAAGAATTGGATGTTACATTAAAAACTTCAATAAATTCTGGTGGATGGATACTTGTATTCTGTGAATAACCTATATAAAAGTGAAACAGAACAGTATATCGTAAAAAATAAAGTAGAAATATGAACTACCATAATTAAAAATAGAGATAACTAGGGATCAACGACATTAATTTGCACAATCTACTGGAAAGATTGCAGAACTCCAGATATTTCAGGCGCAGTTTCCCTCATCTGAGCATGACTTCATCAGCCGTACATTTAGACTACTTCAGGTCACATAAGTAAGTGGCCAAATATCTCGAATGAATATTTATTTAATCATATGGGTGACAAACTTGATTAATTCAAGAGGAGTTTGAACCAGGAATCGATATCATGAGGATAACAAGTCCTCCCAATTTTTCAATTTATATTAATTCATCATACATAGTTAACACCATTCATGGCCATATATGGGAAATTGTACTCATACTCAGCTTGACTGTCTTTGTTTTAGCTTGATAACGTCTGTATAGGTGAAATTCATAAGGTCATTCAGTACTAACCTTTAGGCACAGCTTGTCTTAATATCATAGAAGTGATGAAAGTGACACGAAAACTCTAATCAAACTAAGTAGATGTTATGTTATCAAATGGATGCTTACTCAGTAGAAAGATGATTTATTTACCTAAGTGAAGCGCTGCATAAAATTCGCAAGCCATTTCCATTGAATGATTGATCCCTAATCTCAATTAACAAGTGATTAACAAGTTTAGTTCCCGCCTTGTAAACTCTTCTCAGCAAGTCACTAATGGAATTTGAAGAGAACCACAACAGTTCCATGTTCAGCAGACAAATTTCTTGGTGCTTAATTCAAAGGAAAATTGATTGAAATTACGTAAACATTTACATGTATGTCATCCTAACAGGGAAGGAATGTTTTGTATGCAGAGTTATATAATTTTGTATGCGACGATGATTTTTATCATTATTATTTGTCCCTTGGGTTCCATGTGGAACATAGGGATTCAGTAGCACGTCTCCATTACACTCCGTTCTCTCAATCTTTTCAACCTCGCTCCACGACTGCCCACTATCTCTCATTTCTTCCTCACATTATACCCTCCATGTCACCCTCCCTGCAACATCCAACTCGCCGTTTCCCATCTACGTTCCTCTCAACGGCCTGGCCTGGCCTGACCTGGCCTGGCACGTGATGTCCCCAATCAGCCTCCTCACTGCATGCCCAATCCATCTACACTTCCTTCCACTGCATATTTCTTGGATGACAGGTTCTTGGTTGGTTCGTTGGCAGCCAGACAGCCAGAGTTCCTTGTTGCCTATTATTATCATTATTATTAGTATTCTGGCTATCTGAGCTTCAGTAAGGAGCCAGCGTAAGCAGCTGTTGGTGAATATCTGTAGCTTGTTGGAAATGTGTGATGAAGATGACTATTTATAAACAAAGGTTGGACGAATTCATTATGTTTAACAGTCTTGTCGCCCTAAATTAAGAAACTTGATAACCAGTTGACTTCAAAATTGCTATGTTATGTAGAATTTCAGAGTGAAGTAGAGGAATTCATAGGGCGAGAATTATTCCTATGACAGGACTCAAATTTTCTCCATTGAAGCACCAGTGTTAGTAGCCTTTTCGTTTCTAAGAAATTCAAGATGTGACTGCATTGAATTCAATTTTTTTTAGGCTGAGAGTAGTACAAATACACGTGCTGTTTATCTTTTCTAAATGAACATCGTTTTGAAAACTGCTCACGTTTTGTAAGTATATTGCGCCTAATAAGAGAATAAGACACAATAATTTTACTTCCCATGTCTCCATTTTATTTATCATACCAGTTTGATCCAAGTCAAGACATGGCGAGTATCCAGACAGAGTTACACAAATACAAAAGATCCAGTGACATTGTATCTGGTATCTAACAGTGTAGTCATATATATGTTTTTTATCATGATGAAATTTGAACAAGGTTTAATCAACATTGATAACAAAACATCCGGACATTAAGCTTATATCCCAACAAAACCTTTATGATGCAACTGAGTAGAGCACTACTAACATTACAAAAATAATCTTTCACCAAATAGTAATCAATTTACTGGAAATGGGATTTCAAATGGTGAAAAAGAATTTCACATCTAAACAAGACAAAGTTGGATATAATAAACCGCGTTTAACATAAAATTTGTAATAAAACATTCATGTTTTTTTCGAGAACTATTTTCTTTTTTGCGAGGTAACATTTAGAATTACTTCCATCAGGCAGTTATAGAAATATCAATTCGAATAAGCATAAATCAACAACCAAATAAATGAACAAATTATTTAGATAGTCAATCATCACACGAGATGTAATATTAATATGGGTGTTACGATAGCATCAAGATGCAAGGCAGCAAGCTGAAAAATAACAAAATATAAGATAGTGTATCATCAAAAGTTGGTTCTCTGACATACTACCTAGAGTCTTCAGATATCGATGTCCGCTACAACAAACACCACAAACCGAGTAGTTCATACTCCATTACACATCTCACAGTGACAATCAACTTCTTCATCTACTCATTCCCAGGTTTAGTCTGACCATCTCCGACCTCCTCACAACCTCAACATACTTCACCGAACATTACCAAACGAGGTAAATGATGACCACCGCATATGCAACACGCGTGTTAGCCATCTGAGTCAATGAACATTAACAACATTACTCACTTATTGACCTGTGTTGCCTACAACTCTACACCTCACTCATCTGTTACTAACATAGTGGTTCAAAAGCACATGAGTAGTCAAACGTAGAAAACAGTCGTGGAACACGATGAATGCAATTGAGGAGCATGTTCTAGTCGCATAACAAATATCGTAAAGCTGGAAACCCACGTATACAGGAAACCAACACACAATGATCAAATCCTCAACTATGGTAGCAAAAAGCCAAAAACTCACAAAACTAGTTCCGTGCAGACTCTATTCAAAAGAGCGAGAACACACTGCAACACAACAACTTCAAGGAGAAACGAAGAAAAGTACTTGATGTCCATCCTAAAGAACAATGCCTACTCATGAAACTTTATCAGAAGATGCCCATCCCGTTCATCATCAACTACAAAGTCACCGACAGAAATCAATAAACTCATCATCAACCGTACATAAAGAATATATCAGAAATCATGACAAGATTGCCAAGACCACTGGGTGGAATTAATGTGGCTCATAAACCAACAAATTCCCTCCAAACACTATTATACAGACCAAATGATACAACAACCAAAGAAGACAAACGAACATCATTTATAAAATCAACTACAATAACTGGTCAACACTACATTGAGCAGAGTGGTCGTCCTCTTCGCCTTCGTCTACATGAACACCAATCGGCTACTAAACGTCACACACGACATTTCATCACTCACTACAAGGCACGTGGATAACAACTATAGGAATGAATTTAATTTGGACAATGTAGAAATTTCGTATGGAGAGAGTAACACAAAAAATATCAGAGAATCCCTAGAAGCTTGCATTCAGGTCAGTCAGTCAGCAATCAACAGATGTATAGACATAGATCCAACCTATCAGCCAATAAGGAAAATGATAAATGACAGAAAGGTCAGAGGTCAGGTGGAGGAACAGCCAACAGGAAAGTCTATACAATCAATGACACAACAATCGAAGGAAACAACAAATCACAGACCGCTTTATCAAGTCAAGGTACTAAATCATTGACGGAGAGATATTGACAACTCACTTCATACTGAAGTTAGTGCTGATGATGTTGTCCAGAAAGACGATGAAAGTTCCACGGCTAAACAATCCAGCTCGCATAATACAATACAACCAGCATCTGAAGCCTTCTCATGTACTCGAACTTCAATGGCTACATAGTCGGATAAAGTGAACTGTTGTATAATATATTGAACTCTTTTTAGGTAGTTGGATTTTTTGTCAATGCCATAGATGGTGTAACTCGTCAATGGTTAAGTGCGATTCCCTATCCATCCCGAGATTTCATTGATTAGTTACCTATCAGAGCTGATCCAACTTCCCAAGTTAGTTTAGTGGTCAAAACTCTCAACCACTTCACTCCCGACTATTGGGTGTGATACCAATGCAGAACAGTCACAAAGCAACAATTTGTTTTTGTCATTTAAATATGCATGCCAAAAATTGTAAATTTGTCAATCATGGTATATAAAAAACTTTGGTTCCTATTAGCATCTTGATCTAAAAGAACTATACCATCTGCATGGTCTGGGGCTACTAAGGAGTCTTCTTTGACAAGGTCAATCTCAATGAAGTCAGATGAGGAAAATTAGCTTTTAATCCGTGAATCTGTAGCAAAGTTGGGTTAGAAATTGTACACTTTTGATGGACACTTCCAAGTGTTTCTAACTCACCCGATAACTTCTCCAAAAATTAGTTCAGTAAGGGGTAATTTTTATTTATTCTGTTTACATGTTACCTTATACTATGACAAAATCATACCCATCGTATCAAACAACACTACTCATTATGATAATCTTTTCTTTTACGGATGAAATCCCTATAAATCATAGGAACATTGAGAAAACGTGAGCATATTTCTCAGGAATACTGAAGGCTACCCTTAGTGAACTGTGTTATGAATCAGTACAACCAGCTTCATATGCATTTTGTCCCTTTACTTGGAAAATGTCTAAAACCTTTAATTTCTATCACTAATTTAGAAATTAGTAGTTCTAACATTCGTTACATCTTTTCCAGGTGTAAACACTCGACTTCAAATAAAAGCCAAGAAGATGCTGACTATGTTCGGTAAACCGTAGTTTATCACTTATTCTTAGACCGAAAAATGTATTATACCTCTACAGGTTATCTGTGAAACTGACGACAGACAACTAGGAAAAGAATATTTTGCTTGATAATCTCCTCATTTTCTTCGTTCATATATGCATGACAGTGAACCAATGAATAAATGAATACATGATGGCAGCAGTGAGATGCTTTATAGCAGATAATCACCGATGTTAACTAATTTGGGATTACTTTTAGCAAAGGCTTACATGAAAGACAGTGTGAAGATTTAAAACTATTTCAAATCAGTTAAAGAGTAACGAATTAACTGGATCGTAGTGTATTATGTAACACTGGATAACCTAAATCAATTATGTGTGGCATTCAAATTCGGTGATTATGAACGATGGTGTATTTTTGTATTGCCGAATAATTGTGATTCAAGCTTGACTTTCAATTTTATGATAATAAATTTCATATAGACAACCATTAGTATAAGCAGAGAAGACATGAAATATAGTGGAGTGTTAAGAAACTGAAAAGTTGTAATTTTCGCATAATACTTTGTTTTGCCTTATCATCTATCTGAAGTAGTAACCTTGGTGAAACCTAGTTACATCATAGATGTAATGGATTTATCAAGAATTGTATATTAGATAGCTCAATTTATTTTGAATATAATTTATGCAAAACATTTATGAAACACAAAGCCTTGATGAGTAGCCCACGATAACAATAAGGAATAAACAACACTAGTGCCATTTTTTTCAATTTTTCAAGAAAGTAATCACTACTCGCATAATTCTGTTTATCATTACTTTCTTGAAGTTATAGATATACGTTGCTGATAGATCTTGACAAGAATAAAGTTTCCTATCAATAAATTATGGCCACCCAGTGCTGAATGAAATAAATTTCAACTCCAAGTTGTTTGTCGTACAATGAAAGCCCTACACTATTCGAAACATAATACCATAATCTTGAATACTATCCACTAAGTTTCTTATAATATCCTGAAAAATTTACACAATTTAAAAGTGAATACTAGTCATGCTTGAGTTACAAGACGGATAACTTGAAGTGTGAAGTTATCAAAACTTATAAAAGCTTCACTTACCTTCAGGTAGTGATGTAGTACTGATTGAAATACTATTTCCCAAGTAGTTACCAAATGGTGAAATCACCTTCAGCTGATAAGTATATTGGGTTGATGACTCCAAATCATAGAATACATATTCTGATAAAAAACAACGAATTATAATTACTGCAATAACTTCGCTCAATTTTTATCAGAATTATAGTAAAGTGTAGTGATGATTAACTGTGAAGTGTTGTACCTGTATTTTGATTTATTCCGGACTCTTCAGATGAAACTAATATATATATATATATATATATATATATATATACTGTTATTTTTTCCTTGGGTTCTATGTGGAACATAGGGATTCAGTAGCACGTCTCCATTACACTCCGTTCTCTCAAATCTTTTCAACCTCGCTCCACGACTGCCCACTATCTCTCATTTCTTCCTCACATTATACCCTCCATGTCACCCTCCCTGCAACATCCAACTCGCCGTTTCCCATCTACGTTCCTCTCAACGGCCTGGCCTGGCCTGACCTGGCCTGGCACGTGATGTCCCCAATCAGCCTCCTCACTGCATGCCCAATCCATCTACACTTCCTTCCACTGCATATTTCTTGGATGACAGGTTCTTGGTTGGTTCGTTGGCAGCCAGACAGCCAGAGTTCCTTGTTGCTGATTATTATTATTCTGGCTATCTGAGCTTCAGTAAGGAGTCAGAGTAGGCAGTTGTTGGTGAATATCTGTAGTTCGTTGGAAGTGCTTTTCGTGACACGCCATGTCTCTGAACCATCACACAGAAGCACTGACTTGACTGGCATTGATGTTGACAATCCGGATGTTGTTCACCCTGTATGTTGAGTGCAGTCGATCTCCACACTGGTTTCAGGTTAATGAACGCCTGTCTTGCTGTCTTTCCGATCCTGTTTTAGACGTCCTCGTCTGTGCCTGTGCTGCCTGTGGTTGAAACGATACTGCCTAGTATGGTGGGTGGAAGAAATTACTTCCTTCAAGTTTCTCGCGTTGATGGTGATTGGAGCTTGTTGTTGTTCGTTGGGTATCTTCATCACCTTTGTCTTCTCTACATTCACTCCAAGTCCCGTCTTCGCTGTCTTGTCTCTTTTGTCAACTAGTTAGTTTTTGTCTATAGATCTTCGAGTTTGTGCGACACAAAAAACAAATCATCTGCGAAATCCAAATCTTCTTCTTAAGTCTTTTCATCGGTCTGGTCAGCGTATGCCCACCTTCTCGCTCCTAAAGGTTTACTGCACGATCCAGTCCACCACAATCAGCAAGATCACGGGTGATAGTAATCAGCCTTGTCTTACTCCTGTCTTTACTTCAAAGGCGTCACTGAGCTTTCTATTGTGGATCACTTGGCATGTGGCGTTTTCATATAGCTGTTCAATGAGGTTAATAAAGATTAGTGGCACTATGTAGTGTTGAAGCAACTGCCAAATTACCTCCCGCTTGATGCTTATATATATATATATATATATATATATATATATATATATATATATCATCCTTGAATTGAAAAACCTTCTGCGGTTTTCAGATTACCGTGATGCATCTTTTCCGTACATGTCAGCAATTACAAGCTTCAACGAAAGTTCGCATTACAAATCGAAATCAAACAACAAGTGTTTGCTGTTATTTTAATTAGAAAATGTAAGATATCTCTTCTCTAGTACTCTGAACAAAAAAAACTGTCGATTCTGAACCTATCGGAAACACTGATGCAATGTTAGATTTCAGACAGCGGTACAAGTAAACTTTTAATCACGTAAAACGTTTCTGAACGATAGACACTTTCTAAACAATTATAAACACCAACCTTATATTAACTGACTTGATCATGACTAGCGGTAGAATCGACGGCGCGTGTTTCGCCTTACTTGGCACGCGTCACTTGGATTTATCTGCACCCCAATGAATGATTTTGCTTCCAATAAACATTCAAGTAATATCAAGGCATCCGCAAACGAGCCTAAATACCAACAGAGGTCGATCACTTCCATTCGGTATAACAACGGAGAATTACAAGTATCAACAAATAATAATCAACCTTGTAAGTATTTAAACAGGTTTATGCTTCTAGTACAGAAGCAGTGAAGCATCTTGAAAGAGAAAGACTAGAACAGTAAAAACTCTATCTTCAGAGCCCAACACGTCTTACTTAACACATTAAACAGTTATCGTGAATTATTGTAATCATGAATTGACAGAAAGAGAAAAAGTCGGCTGTTGGATTGTGACTCGACATAAGCCTAAATGTTCTGAGCGCGACCTCTTAAGCGGCCGTGGGTGCGCACTGATGAAATATCCTAAAGTAGGATGAAACAGCTTTCTTTTACCTCCAGTTTTCAAATGATTCTCGGGTTAATGTCGATCTATAACAGATCGGTTTGAAAATGCTGCACCTTAGATTTTCGTAAAGTTTTTTTATACTCTAGAATAAGGGAATAAATAGTTACCTGTTTCGTTTATTGATAAACTAATCGTTCTCTGCGTATGTGTTCTCTGATTGATTTGTAATAAATGAATAGATGCCATGCAACCTCCAGGTATAATCAGTTTACTCCATCCAACTTTTTGTATTCCTGCAGCAACGTTTTCTATTTCAAAGTGACTTTGTACTAAGTGCTCTAAAATACAAAGGAAATATTCTAAATGGTGGAGGTTAAAAAGGAAGAATGAAATATATGAAAACTAGTAGTAATTTTATGCACTTGTTTCACTACACAAGTTACAATCAAAGATGCCAAAAATAACAAATTTCGCACATAACGATTTATTTCTTTTCAACTTCCTTCCATTGGCTAACAAAACTCTAGCATGGATGTGAAAAAGCTCACTTGGTTATTGACAAATAACGTCAATTATGGGACTGAAAAAAAATCCGACGGCCTAATAGGGGGTTCACTATACTATAAAGCAGTTCCTACTGTGAAGCCATGAAATATAGCCATTGAAGTTTGAGTACATGAGAAGACTTAAGTTGTTTGACGATTGCTATCTCCATTTAACTACTCATGTGCTTTTGAACCACTATGTTAGTAACAGATGAGTGAGGTGTAGAGTTGTGGGCAACACAGGTCAATAAGTGAGTAATGTTGTTAATGTTCATTGACTCAGATGGCTAACACGCGTGTTGCATATGCGGTGGTCATCATTTACCTCGTTTGGTAATGTTAGGTGATATATGTTGAGGTTGTGAGGAGGTCGGAGATGGTCAGACTAAACCTGGGAATGAGTAGATGAAGAAGTTGACTGTCATTGTGAGATGTGTAATGGAATATGAACTACTCGGTTTGTGGTCTGTGTGATGATGGATATAGCACAGAATTCATATCAGTGACATACATGTATTTGCATATTATCTTTGTCTTAATCGTCATGCTAAACAGTGTTTTTGTTACATTCCTTCTTTTTTGCTTTTTATGACTCCTACTACTGTGACTACTTTCTTCTTGTTTCCCTGTCTTTCATCCTAATGGGCTTTAGCTTAAGGTGATGATGCAAATTGCGGTGACTTGGACCACTGTGAAGTAATACGACGACCCATGTTGATGCTGACTAACTGACGCATTCAGCAGATAAAGCTTATTTATCAAAAAGGAATAAATTTAACCTTCTTAAACCAAAAAATCAATATTAAGTATGACCACATTAGCCTGTTTTCGATTACTTCTATGTCTTAAATACAAAGATCTGGCATTTTTGAGTGGCACGTGACTTCTTTCTTCTATCGAAAGGTTTCCATGATATTTATTGTTAAATTACATACACCTTAATATTCCAGTCTGAGTAGACAGCGTCAAAGAAAACTAATTAAGCTATCTTTTGCGCTTTTCAGAAGGAAACATGGCAAAACTCGTACTCATTTTCATAAATTGTAACCTATGTCACTCAGTATTTAGGTAAAAGCTATTTCGATGAAACTATTTAGATCACGAATGACTGAGGCATTTGGTGCCTCTGTAATTATAAGTGTTTATCTAAATAGCAGCGATAGAGAATGGCTAACAGTGGTGTATAGGACGCTCGAATTGTCCTGTTTCGGAATCGTCAGTTAAATCTTCCCTCCTTCCAGTGAGTGACGTCATTTGCAAGAACACTCGAATCAAGAGCCATTCTCTTCAAACACTAGTGCGCTGTGATTTAGGTTATTGAGGCAAGGACATGTAGAATAAGGCTATTGATTCAGTGTCATGAAACTGAATTTTTTGCTGATTTAGACTTTAAAACTTAAAGTTACTCACTTGGCAGCGAAGTAGTTGTAGCTATGGGGTTTGACCAATCACTTGACTTCATTAGAAATGCACTAATTGTCCTCATTTGAACCACATAAAAAGAGCAAGCAGACAAATTTGTAATCCGTTTCTTTAGTACAGAAGCCTCTGATATATATTGAACTAGTGGAGGTAACTTTTGTGGACTGCTAATCAAAATTTCATAAGTGAATACAACATGTAAGTGATCCAAATTATCCGATGGTGCTGACCAAGATACTTCGAAGGAATCAGATGTTATATAACTGACAGCTATGTTATCCGGCGGTAAAAGTACTGGATTACAAAAATTGTCTAAAAGATATATAAAAAGAAAGGCAGATGTTAAAACTCGTTTAACGAAAAGCAACCGAAAACAAAGTAAAGATATACTTATTGCAATAAGGAAAACCAAAATAATGCAACACCGAAAAATATTATACTAAACCAAAAACACAGCAAAGGAGAAGCATACGAAGAAGGAAAACAAAATCGAAAATTTGAAGATCGAACAAAAAGAGAAATCATAAACCAAAAACAAAATATAACCACGAAAAGAGTTAAAAATAAAACAGTAAAACTTAGAAACAAAAAAAAGAACTCCAAAAACTTCATTCAAAAAGGCCAAACCAGCCCCAAAAAAAGGAAAACCAATACCAGAAAAAAAAGCCTAAACCCAAAAAAAGTGTAAAAGATATCAAATAATAAGCGAAGAAACATGAAAAAAAACAACAGAGAAGATACTCAAAATCCATACTCCAGAATCACACATATTTCAGTGAATGAGAAATATCCTTGTCTCGAAAGCACTCAAACACCATAAACTGATGCATTCATCATTCTTTCAGTGACCAAATGAAGTCTGCAAACAGTTGAGGATGCACAACCTCGTTCCCTATCAACTGCTTGCTGGTCGCTTGCGATCACCGGTCATCACCAGCGATCAACACACCTTGAACCTCTCCATTTACGGAAATTTCAACTTACAAAATCAAAGAAACTCTCTACACCACATATTTTCAGTCAATCACACAAAAAAATAAGCAATGAATGAACAGGTATAGTAGACAACTTTCGACTTACTCAATTGCTTGACTTGATCGGTCAACTGCAGATTTCTGCTTGTCTGATTGAAGGTTGAACCGACCGAGTGATTTGTTGGTGCCTCACTGGAGGAGTCTGAGAGTGAGGAGGAAGACGAGGAGTAAGAAGGAAACAAAGAAGACAGAATGCTGAAGTTGTCATACACATTTCAATCAATAACACAAAAGTATAACCTCGTGTCTCCTGCTGTCTTGAATGTAACTGTCAAGTGAGTTTCGAATGTACTGTCTGAGAATACTGTAACTCAGTTGCACACGACTGCATGCTAGACTGATGCCTTTAATTCAGTTTCGAGCATCTTACGTGTTCATCATATTGATGATGCATTGTGTCATGTGTTGAGGAGAGATCTGAATATCTGTCAATGCGGATGCCATGCCTTGTGCATACATTCATACAGACACTCTGCAACATGAAACATCTCATTTGTTCGTCATTCAACTCATATTAGATAGATGAAATCAAGCCTTCATCACGTGCGATAAATTCGTAAATTATCATGACATGGCAGCCAGTGAACAGAGAACTCAGTATGAGTTCGTTGACTTGAATATGTGAGAAGGGTTCTTCACAGCTGCGCAAATTAGCAGGCCCACTTCCACTCGATTTAACAGTCTTTGGTGACTATGAAACGCTTCGACGTTGACCGTGACTACTTCTTGCTTTTTTTCCACTTCTTTTGTTGACATGTTTCTATGTATTTTTTTATACTGTTTATTTTGTTCGGTAGTTGTTTGATCATTTCTTTTTATTTGTCTTGCTTTTTGCGACACTGCTTGGTTGTGTTTTTAGTGATTTTCTTGATTTTTCTTCGTTTTTGCATTCTCCTGCCTTTCCTCCTTTTGTATGTGTTGTTTTTCTTTGTTTGTTCTTGCAGTTTTTATTTTGGGATTTCTCATTTTTAAATGTCATGAGATTCTTTGATTTCGATGCCTTTTACGTTTGTTATTATGACGTCCTTCCTTATTTTGAAAATCTTTTGCAGATTTTATGACCTATTTCCTAGTTGAATTCTTCAGTGATGTCTAAATCATTATTTTATATGATCACTAATGTTTTTTTATCTATTTTGGCATTCTTCATCCTTTATCATTCTTTACCGCTCAACCTGAGTTTAACCTACTTTGCTTATGTGATTCAATTGATGACTGAATTTTAGGTTAAGAAAGTAATTTTTGCGCTATGAAACCACAATCTACCGTTTATCTTTATTTTATCAATTATCGTCAAACATTCTTCGGTGTCTATATCCATAGATTCTCTTTAATTTTTCATCTTGAACATTGAATGTTACTTGGATGTAAATGCATCCAGCTAATATATTCTTAACAGGAGCAAAAATTCCCCGTTGATCCATTTGCTAGCTACAACTAAACTATAATTGTTGTCCACTCTCTGTTTACCTATTTTAAATACAGACATAAAATAATGATGCAGAATTCCAGATTCTAGACTACAGTCTAAAAGAAGAAAAAAATGTTGATCATCAAGTGATTTACAATTCACTCACGTCTCTCAATCTGTATTTCATCTTTTTCAGAATCACCACACTAGCATACTTCATGAATTTGAACACAAAAATCAATCTGACTTCAATTCAATAGATAAGTGAGTAAAGTAGTTCAGTATCGCATGTTTATTTTGTACGCAATATTTGTACAATATTTAATGGTTCTGCATTAGCTTACATTTTAAAGCCTTTACAAGACATTAAATACATATATCTGTATGTATGAGCAGACTTGTAATTGTGTGTACACAAATCTTTTTATAAAATATTGAAACTATGGGGTTGAATATCACAAATATTTTGGTAACATTCTGCACAAGTAACATTATAAGTTATTCGTTATGAAGTAGTTCATAGATGATAATGTTTTTCGTAGAACTAAGAAAGTCTACACACAAGTGAACATCAACGCAACTCCTTTACACTCTTTATTTCAGTTTTACACTAATCTAATTATGTAACTATTTTGTATTCCATAATAATAGGTTAATGTATGTTTGCATCATATATAAATACGTTTGTACAGTTTTGGAAAATAACATCGCAGAATAAGAAAGTTTACTTTGTTGAATTATTTCCCCTTTTTCTATAAAATGACTTCACTGGGATTCATCTACTCCCTGGAGGTCATCTGGTTGGCTTGAAGTATGAAGATGATACTGTTCTGCTGAATGAAGTCGCTGAAAAAATGCAGTATCTTCTAGATACGTTGAGCATAAATCTGAGCATATCTGACATGTGTTTCGCACCTGTCAAGTGTAAAATGGTGCTCCACGACTGGTTTGATGTAAGTATTCCCAGTTTAATGATAGCGAGTGAAGTGGTGGAATGTGCTGACCACTTCACTTACTTAGGAAGTAACATCAGCCATGGCTGCTTGACTGTTGATGAAATCTCGGCTTGAATACAGAAGGTTTCTTTGTCATTTGCCAACTTGCATCACCTGTAGTGCTGGCGAGATATTCGATTATCTATCATAGGAAGAGCATACTGCTCTATAGTTCTTAATGTCCTGTTATGTGACTGTGAAACATGATGGTTAAAAGTAGAGAATATGAAGTAATACCAAGGCTTTTATCACAGATGTCTTCGTAGCATTGCTCGCGTTTGGTGAAATCACTGTATTGGCAGTGTTTAGGTAGATGAATGATACTAGGCAAGGCAGCCAAGTCGATGGGTGAGGTTTCGAACCTTTATCGTCTGAGGTGGCTTGAACGTGTTGTGCATGCTGATGCACCACCTACTTCTATGTACTATGGCAAGGGAAGTTAGATTAGGTTGGAGGAGAGTTCAGGATGACCGGACCAAGAAATGGCACCAGTCGGGTAAGCCATATAGGAGATGTAGGTTGACTGGTTCAGGTATCCGAGACAAAACGAATCAGTGAAGGGGACACTTAGTGTTATAGCTGAAAATCGGTCCCAATGGCCCGGATGTATTCACTCCTTAGGATCTTCTAATCTTGAAGAATTGTACTAACTGTTATCTCCAGATTGTTTATTCTCTCGCTAAAATTTATTTTCTCATTTGACTATCTTAATAGCCCTAGTTTGGTAGACTAGTACTTATACTGGGTGATGATTGAAGGTGAGGTGAAATTCAGGACTGCGATCGTATTCGAACCAGAGACCAAGGCCGCGGTTCAGATTTCCATCTCACCTTTAATCATCACCTAGTATAAATACTTTATCTTTTTTGATATCATTCTCTTTTATCTATTTGTTCTTTGTATACTGCTGTGAAGTATGGTTAGTTGACCAATGCACTTGTGTACGAGGTTCCACCTTGATTTTGTCTATTTGTCTACCTTACAATATAAATCATCGGAATGAGCTCATACTGATTTACAGCTTTTGGTAGTCAGGTTGGACGTATTTTCTAATCACTACACGGCCATTTCTGTTATATAGAGCCCAGTTCAACTGACATGTAAACAGATGAAATCTGCCTTGACAGTAAAACTGCTGCAACCGCCAAACACTTTTCTTCCAGAGCTCATATGCTTTGGTTTTCACTTGGATGCAGTCATACAAAACTATGTGCTAGCAACAGCAACCAGTTATTGAAAAATTAAATAAATGTCACTGGCCATGGAATTTGCATCTAATTTCCAAGGCGTTCGTCTAGGAAAGTCTTGAGCAAAGAAAACAGGCAGTAAACTCTTGTGATTTAAGTAATTTAGATAGAAAAAGCATAACGAATGGAGCAGAATAACACTATGCCATTTTTATACCAGTTTCTCATCCTCTGATTACAACCTGAAACATGAATATCTCATAACAGAAGAAGTGGAATATAATTTTCCAGTCATAAGAAGTTACTTAACAGGAACTGACTAAGTGAACCAGACATCCTTAGAAGTCTTAGTTATTTCTTTTAGTTAAGAAGAGCTTAAAAAAACCCATATGCATAGCAACAAACTGTTTTGGTATTTACTGCAAAGGATTACTTAGAAATATTAGCTGGTGACAAGTAACAAGTGACTTATGCAATAATATAATGGGCTAAACTTATTTGGTAAAAATGACAATCAAAACGTTTTACAAATAGATAACGATTCAACGTAGTATTCATCATAGACTGACATTAGTCAGATGTCTTCAATGCACACTGACTGAACACATCTATCTAATCAACGATTTTCAACCAGTTTAAGTAAGGTTATCTTTTAATGCCTGAGGTGAACAGTATGTGTCAGTTACGCGACACAATAAACCGAGTAAAGTTTTAAAATATGGACCATTGAGTTTCGATCCAGTAACCAAAAAATAACAAATCCATTGTGATACCTTGTGATCTTAAACTTGAGTCCATGATGAATTGTCATTATTTTACTAATCACTTCTAGAAAAGGAAATTATACCTGTCTGGTCCTTCTTGCCTACTCGAGATTCAGTATTCAATACTGATATGTACTGAGAACTACAATCATGAGTAATTGACGAGCAACCAAACTCTTTTGTTGTGTCTACATATCTACGTAAGAAAATGTGACTATTAGAAAAAAGAGAAGGATAGTAGATGTAATGAATGACTTTGATTATCGCACAACCTAAGTGCTCAATGTTATCTGCTTCTACCCCATGCTACCCCGTAATGGAAAATAGTTCTGACGAATACGAGTTTTTACTGTTGGTTTATCGTTCTAGTTCTTTTTTCAAGAACTCCGTGTCTATTACTTACAGTACAAATATCTATTACAAATTAGGCATCATAGCAGTGAACTCAATACCTAAGAATAGTTCGCTGTGGGGGGTTGAAGAATACCTGGAATGCTTTGATCCACTTGATCTGTTAAAGTATTCAGGAGACGATAAAATACTACTACGATCGGAAGAGAAGCTGGTTTTGTTGCCACTTTACAGGTCACTGTTAGTTAAAATGCATTATAACACGTAAAACAGCTTACTTCAATAAATTTGTTACTGCTGCTGATCAGCATATACGAGATTGTATTCTTCAACTTTCGACACAAGCATCGAAATGAAACCTTAGTAACCAGTTGCACACTCATTTACATTATCGTGTAATTGCCAGTAATAATATTTCCAAGCTAGTAAAGAAG